TGGCTCCCTACAACCCCTGTACTGTACCTCTGGCAAGAAGAGTAAGGTAAGTCGACGGGAGATTTTCTCCTGTCTACCCCCTGTGGTGTAGATCCCGCGGTAACTTGACCTAAGATATGTCGACTCCAGCTAGGTCGACTTACTGCAGTAGTGTAGACGTAGCCTTATTGTTAAGAGGAATCCCTAGGAATTGAACCCAACCCTTCTTGCTGGGGACTCCACCTGGCAGAAGGGCTATGTACAGGCGTTAACTCAAGAGCAGAGGGCCATGTGACTCGTAGCCCAGATGTTAGATTCAAACATCTGAGTATTTCTCAGTGAATTTGACTTATGTTAATACTACTTGAGTGGAACAGATAACATTTAAAAGGAACATAGTTCTCAAAGCCATTTCCCTAGAGACACAAATGTCAAGGGATTTCACTGACTAGTAGTGTATAATAGGTTTGTGAGCAACAAAAATAATTATTAATACTTAAAAATGGAAAGCCCAGACTTCAAAATCTTGCTTTGTGGCCTGGGGAAGCCTGACATATACATAGGTTCAGATCACAATACGATTTGTTACTGCTCAACAAAGCTTAACAAATGTGAATAGGGTGCTAGCAGTGTGAGCTATTGAAAAGTGTCATCAGTTCTGCTAAGATCATGATATGGAGTCAGTTCTGGTGCCATCTAGCTTGAGGAATTTAGGAATAGTCTACCCGAATCCAACTGTGTTAGAAATGTTGTTTTAAACACGGTCCTGGTCTAGCACATGCTTTAAACGTGTTTCTCACTTGATTTTTCTGCATTTTTCCTGACTGTTGAAAATATGTTTTGTTGGAACAGAGTTTAAACACTGTTTTTTAACTTGATTTGAACTCTAGTCTGGCCATGGTCTTTGCTACTTCACCCATTTTTTATTTTTCATTGAGCAAGTTCCAAAAGCATTAACTCCCACGTAAGGGCTATTTCTCTTGCTTTCAAGTAATGTGAATTGAGGTCTGGAAGACACCCTTGGAGTTTGTCTAATTAACTTCCTGTCACTACAGCCAAGGCAGAGAGTTAAGGTACAGTAGCTAACACATTTTGCAGTCACTCTATCTGGCAAGGAATATAGATTGGAAAAATTCTTTGCTTGAGCAATATTGTTATGCTATACTAAAATGCTCTTTAAAAATGAATTAGGTTCTCTTGAGAGTGAGAAATTGAGATCATCTACCACAGCCAGACATGACCCAGGCATTCCCTTCCTCATGCAACTCTGCCCTGAATTGTTCCATGATCTTGAGATGGACACAAGGGACTGAAATAAAAACCACACCCCACTCATTTTTGCTTGTGACTCAAGCAGGATGAATTCAGGTCTTCAGAAAGGAAAGACAAGGGGTAAGAGTCAGCCTTAGGGCAGGTCTACACTACAGCCGGGATCGATGCTCTGAGATCGATCCACCGGCTGTTGATTAAGTGGGTCTAGTGAAATCAACTGCAGATCGCTGTTCAGTCGACCCATGTACACTACCCCTGACAAGAAGAGTAAGGTAAGTCGACGGGAGAGTTTCTCCCATCGACCCCCCACGGTGTAGACCCCGTGGTAACTTGACCTACGGTACGTCGACTCCAGCTACGTTATTCATGTAGCTGGAGTTGCGTAGCGTAGGTCGACTTACCGCGGTAGTGTAGACATAGCCTTAGTTGAAGCAGGCAAAACTCACATTTACTGTAACCGGAACAGCATCTGCTTACACCGTGGTTGAGTTTATGGACACAAACCTACTGCCCTACCTACTCCCTGAAACTTTTTTCAATGCCAGCAATAGTAGTTTCACTTGTAATTGTTTTATCTTCCTTCTAGTGACCTGCCCCCCCTCCCAAAAAAATCCTATGTTGAATGCAGTTTGTGAATGGAAATATTCATGCACTTTCAAATTCTCTCCTGGGAAACTAAGGTACATCTCTCTCTCACACAAACTTATGCTGTAATTTCACACTTGTTTTGTTTTTCCAGCAGTTGATTCTTTCCTCGTTATGTAGGACATGCATGTTTCATTTTCATTAGGGCTTTTATAGTTGAGTCCTAATGAGCATAGTAAAGGGGATTCACTCCATGGAGCTGCCACAGAAAGGCCAGAGGGTCCTCTTATAAATGCTATTGATTTGATGCATCCCTCCTAGATAATGCAGGATTTTGCTGATGTTGAAGCCTACAGCGAGATCACAGTCCTTATAAAAACTATCATAAAGTAATATTTATACATAGGGGAGAGAAATGGGACTGAAGTTTAGAGAAAATAAAAAGTATACTCCCTCCATCTACTTTTCTACTACCCTTGTTATGTGAGACTGGAGCAATCCACATACACAAAGATGTAACCACAAAAAGAACAGGAGTACTTGTGGCACCTTAGAGACTAACAAATTTATTTATGGCCCACTTCATCAGATGCATAGAATGAAACATACAGTAAGAAGATATGTATATCTATGTATATGTATATCTTCTTACTATATGTTCCATTCTATGCATCTGATGAAGTGGTCTGTAGCCCACAAAAGCTTATGCTCAAATAAATTTGTTAGTCTCTAAGGTGCCACAAGTACTCCTGTTCTTTTTGCATACAGACTAACACGGCTGCTGCTCTGAAAGATGTAACCATCTCTCACTGTTTAAGAACGTTTGTTTAACCACAACCCAACAACGTGTTAGCAATAGTTCCTGTGAGACAAATCTGAGATATGAAGGCCAGTCCTCAATAGTGTATTTACACCAGTTACAATTTACTATTTGCAACAACTGGGGATCTGGTCCATCACATTTGTAATGTCCTAACAATTAATGGCTGTCACCAAATTATCAAAACTTTCTGGACTGATCAATATCTAAGAAGAAGTCACAGTTTATTGACTCCAGTGTCTCACCACTAGAAGTACAAAACCAGGAGTTCTTTTTGGGGAAGGAGTAGGGAATTTCTGTGCTATTTTATTTTATTTTATTTACCCTATTGCCTAGCTTAATTTACATTATCAAGTGTTTATCTCATTCAAGAATAGTTTTTAGTTTTATAACACACAAAAGGCTTGATTCCCCTCCCACTAAAGGATTTAGCTCTCAGACATTGTATAATCTGTCCTTGTCTTCTGGGAAATTGCACAGTCTACTGTAGCAATGAGTCTAAATCTGACACCTGAACACCAACACGGGTCTTTAGTATATATTTTAATCAGCTACACAATGTGCAAAAAGCTAAATTAGAAAAAGAATATGTCAGTTGTAGAGAGCTGAGATGTTTATTGTATTAAAACAACCCCAGTGGAAATTTTCAATGGCCCTGTTTAGGAAGATACAATTAAGGTTAAGCAAGTGTAGCATAGGCCTTGTTTACACCAAGGACACTTTCCCAATTTTTTTTTGCTGTTGCTAACATCGGTTCATCACCACAGGTGTTAGCCACATTTCCTCTGAGCGGGCCTGAAACTAGTGGCCACACGTAGCAGTGTATTGACACTATGCTGCTAAGGCTGATGGAGCTGAACCATCCTGGTAAGGGTAGGAAACTTTTGAAAAATATCCTGAGGTTAGATAGGAGCAGGGCTTCACATCCTGAGAGGGGGAAGGGCATGGGTGTTGTAGGAACAGCAACCTACAGAAGGAAGCAAGAAAAGTAAGTGACTTGCTGTATCTTAGGCTGTGCCTACACTGCCACTTACAGCGCTGAAATTTTCTTCGCTCGGGGTGTGAAAAAACACCCCCTGAGTAAATCGGCTGTGTAGACATACCCTTACACTGTAATCATTCTCTTGTAGCTCTTCCTGCTACAGCCCTGCCTTTCCTCCTCCTTGGCATGTACCATGCACTCACACAGTATATGTTATACAGTGTCATGTAACTAAAGTTATCTTTAATGTTGGCCGAAGGAGTCATTAGTATAATTTATATTACAAGAGAGCCAAGGAGGCCACAGTCAGGACCCCATTGTGCTAGGTACTGCCCAGAGGTTATGGTCAAAGTCAGTATGCAGCCCAAAGAGATTATTACAGTCCTGAATTATGACAGATGTTCAAACAGATGTGAGTGGGGAGGGTGAAAGATGAAGTAGCAGTGAAATGATCAAATTTTGTATGGTAAAAGCAAGAGTCATTAAATACAGTTTAAAAAACCATGAATCTCTACTCCACAAAAGTTTCAGGCAGGACTGTCAAGTTAAGATCTCCAAAACTCATTCTAGGTCAATGACATAAATTCCATGTCAGCCAACTGGCAAATTTTGCTACATATCAGTAGCATCACAGCGCAAACGTATTACATTTCCAGACTACTGACCACTATAGTAGTAGTGTAATTCACTCATTTCAGCCTTCAAGGGAAAAAAAATCAGTACTATCAGATTTTAAACTTTTATTTGAAGGGGGAGGGAATAAATAAAAAATAATTTAAAAAATGTTAAAGCCACCTGAGAAAGGCAGCCTTTAAAGTATACAAAACAATACAGTACTGCAGTTCAGCACATGCTACTCTAAGTTTAACAAAATACATAATATTACCAAATTTAATGATCTAGTCCAGTAATCACCAGCCTTACCTCTGACTGTTCTCCATCCTGCTCTTGAGCTGTATCTCCTTCTTTTGTCTTATTCTACACCACAGGAAACAGGTCAGGTGTAAATAGCACAAAGATGTGTTCTCACGACTAACTCAGCTTAAGTATCTTCATTTTATCACTTAAGGGAATCCAAATTCCTAACTGGGATGATTTAGTTGGGGATTGGTCCTGCTTGGAGCAGGGGGTTGGACTAGGTGACCTGCTGAGGTCCCTTCCAACCCTGATATTCTATGATTCAAATAATCAGAGAGCTTTCACAGATTCCATGCCAGAATCCAATTCTGCTAAGCGTTCAAAGCAGACAGGTTCAAAAAAAGCAAGAAAAATGTAATTAATTCTTCCTAGGAATATTTGCTTTGAAAGGGTGCACCAGGGGCACGGAATGCCTCATGCAAGTCACCAATGCAACATCACTGCCGGTGTAATTTACAAAAGAAAATTCCATTGTTTAATTTTGTCAAGGCAAAGCTGCAGATTCTGCATCAAATTTGTTCCTGTATAGATAGGAAACGTATCTACTTTTTATCTGGTTGGTCTGGAGTCATTATCTTGACTGTTACCTACTATTGTGGATTTCTTATAAGAATAACAGATATGTTCAGTTAGCTTCAGGCTAAATTTGGACTGCAGTATGATGGCAATACTTGCCTAAACCTGTATTCTGGTTGCTCTCAAATCCCATACAGTGGGACAAATCATGATCCCAATAAGCTAAAATGGATTAGACTATTTCCTCTGGCTCTGAAGCCTGTTGCCAGCATCTTTCCAGCTTGGCTCTGTAGAGCACCATGTGCATGAATGTGGAAGAAAGCTAAGAACTGGGGCTGACCATTTCAACAAGAGATTGAAAAGACTGGACCTGCTTTACAGAGGAGATGAATAAGTGGGGATGTGATAGATAGATGTGAAATAATGAATGTTATACAGATGGTTAATCAGGTGCTCTATTTACCCTTTCTTATATTAAATACAAAAATAGGATATCTAATGAAGTTAAAAGACAATGAATTTTGAAAAATTATAAAAGGAAATACTTTTTACACAGTGAATAATTGACCTGTGGAATTCATTGCTTCAAGATATAGTCATCTCCGAGAGCTTGGGTGGATTCAAAAAAGTTTAGACATTTATATGGAAAATTATAGCATACATGGTTACATTAGATAAGATAAAATAGTAAGGCCATAATCCCCCATGCTCCAATGCATAAGCCAGTCCCTAACTCATGGGTTTAGGAAGAAATTTCCCATAGGAGCAGGTTGCTGTTGTTGTCAAATATGTATATTTCTCTAATGCCCAGAGATCTCTATCTGGGGTGGAGCCCCATTATGCAATGCACTGCACAAAACCAAACAAAGCCAAGGGAGGGAGGTGTTAATTTTGCTCAGATGTTTAACTTCCACTATGCATTACCCTCAAAAGTGAATACATAAAATGATTTTTAAAATGGGATGTTTTGGTAGGATTGGAGTTGAGTATGTGAGGCAACTGGTGCTGAGATATTGTGAATAGCCAAGAGAAAAGAAGTACTTAAGTGTTTTAAGAGAGACAGTTTTTTAAAATGACTAATTAGAATCAGATCAGTGAACATTGATCATAGTGGCATGTCAGTTTTCTTTGTCCTTCCAAATCCAATTGCATTAATTAATCCACTCTTCAGCCTTCATAGCAATGCACACTAATGCTCCATGATTATGCACCTCTACCTTGATATAACGCTGTCCTCGGGAGCCAAAAATTCTTACCGTGTTATAGGTGAAACCGCGTTATATCAAACTTGCTTTGATCGGCCGGAGTGCGCAGCCCCGCCCCCCTGGAGCACTGCTTTACCACGTTATATCAGAATTCGTGTTATATTGGGTCGCGTTATATTGGGGTAGAGGTGTAATAGGATTTCCGCACATGCATACTTGGGTAGGAGAGGCATTTCTGCAGCTGCTCTGACCTTAAAATGATAGTGGACCTTCAGTGCACAGTGTGACTGCAGTAGCAGGCCACTGAACTTTAAATAAAATGTTATTTGTTTCACTTTAAGAAAGTCCCTTGGATAAACAGTTCTCATTCCTTTCCCAGCCCCACACTCTGATGGGATTTGCTTGGTAGGGGGCCCTTTCTGTTCTTTGCCATAGGATCTAAGCTTTCATCTTGTAGGTGTCATATGATCCAGGGGCAACCATACTGGACTGTTCAGGGTGAAAGAACGTTTGAGTGCCCTTAAGAATATATTTCTTTATCTGTCCCCAGAACAGGAACAGCTTGGGCAGTAGTGGTGCCAACTTTTCCATGTCACCTTGCCAGTGATCTTCAAATCTGACCTGGAGCCACCGCCACCTGTAAGGGTAAGAAGGAAATTCAATACCCATCTTTAATTTTTGTGCTGAGACTGCCAAGCAGGGTTCCACTTAGCACCAGCTGTGTTAGGGATTTTGTGAGATGCATTTAATTTATCTGCTTTTATTTAATTTATCTGCTACCTGATGAAGATGATTATATTAATATTAATTATAATAGTACTACCTAGGGACCCCTATTGGGGGAGAGACCCTGCGAGGGGGGAGGGTCCCAGAGCCTGGGTGTCAGCTCAAGCCCGAACATCTACACTACAATTTTATAACCCCGTGAGTGCGAGTCAGCTGACCTGGGCCAGCCACAGGTGTTTTATTGCAATGTAGACATACTGTATAAAGGCATGTCTACACTGCAGTGTAAGCCCAGGGTTCGAACTCAGGCACAAGCCTAACCCCCCTTCTGTCTACACAAAAATCACACTAATCCAAGGATCAGACCCAGGGTCCCAGGAGCCCATGGGGGTGGAGGATTTGAACCTTAGTCAAGCTGGGACCCAGAGTTCAAGCCCTATTGCTTTGCAGTTTAGACACAACCCCACTGGACTTGTACTCTGGGAGTCCACTTAAAGTATCCCACAATCCCAATGTTCTCTGGACAGTCAAGTTTTCCCACACTGTGTAACCCACCCACCTCCTGGGTGTGGTGTTCTGTCCCATCTAGCAGCACCAAGACCACTTAGAGAGAGATTAATGAGTCTGCTCTACAACCTTAGCTAAGGGCCATATGGCTTTTAGCTAAGGCTGTCAATTAATTGCAGTTAACTCACGCGATTCTCTTAAAAAAAATTAATCACGATTAATCGCACTGTTAAACAATGGAATACCAAATGAAATTTATTAAATATTTTGGGATGTTTTTCTACATTTTCAAAAAAATATTGATTTCAATTACAACACAGAATACAAAGTGTAGATTGCTCACTTTATATTATTATTTTTATTACAAATATTTGCACTGTAAAAACGATAAACAGAACAAATAGTATTTTTCAGTTCACCTCATACAAGCACTGTAGTGCAATCTCTTTATCATGAAAGTGCAATTTACAAATGTAGATTTTTTTTGTTACATAACTGCTCTCAAAAACAAAACAATGTAAAACCTTAGAGCCTACAAGTCCACTTAGTCCTACTTCTTGTTCAACCAGTCTCTAAGACAAACAAGTTTGTTTACATTCACAGGAGATGCTGCTGCCTTCTTCTTATTTATAATGTCACCTGCAAGTGAGAACAGGAGTTTGCGTGACACTTTTGTAGCCAGAGTTGAAAGGCATTTATGTGCCAGATATGCTAAACATTCGTATGCCCCTTCATGCTTCGACCACCATTCCAGAGGACATGCTTCTATGCCGATGATGCTCGTTAAAAAATAATGCGTTAATTAAATTTGTGACTGAACTCCTTGGGGGAGAACTGTATGTCTTCAGCTCTGTTTTACCTGCATTCTGCCATATATTTCATGTTATAGCAGTCTCGGATGATGACCCAGCACATGTTCGTTTTAAGAACACTTTCACAGCAGATTTGACAAAACGCAAAGAAGATACTAATAAGAGATTTCTAAAAATAGCTACAGCATTCGACTCTAAGTTTAAGAATCAGAAGTACCTTCCAAAATCTGAGAGGGACGAGGTGTGGAGCATGCTTTCAGAAGCCTTAAAAGTGCAACACTCAGATGCAGAAACTACAGAAGCTAAACCACCAAAAAAGAAAATCAACCTTCTCCTGATGGCATCTGACTCAGATGATAAAAATGAACATGCATCGGTCCACTCTGCTTTGGATTGTTATCGAGCAGAACCCATCATCAGCATGGACACAAGTCATCTGGAATGGTGGTTGAAACATGAAGGGACATATGAAACTTTAGCGCATCTGGCACGTAAATATATTGCGACGCAGGCTACAACAGTGCCATGCAAATGCCTGTTCTCACTTTCAGGTGATATTGTAAACAAGAAGCAGGGAGCATTATCTCCTGCAAATTGTAACCAAGTTTGTTTGTCTGAGCAATTGGCTGACGTAGAACTGAGTGGACCTGTAGGCTCTAAAGTTTTACATTGTTTTATTTTTCAATGCAGTTATTTTTTGTACATAATTCTACATTTGTAAGTTCAACTTTCATGATAAAGAGATTGCACTACAGTAGTTGTATGACGTGAATTGTATTCCAGCCCTTAAAAGTGGATTCACAGTGTGACATTCTCAGTTTATTCTACAGTCTGTGACACGGAAAGGAAGTCTCTGGATTTGAAATAAGAAGTATTAGTATTAGTATTGGGATATTTAATTATTGAGAGAACAGTTGTAAAGCATGCCAAATGGGGATGTTTTGTACTATGTGAAAAGTATAAATTTCACTGAAGATTTTTCATCTAAGGATCTGAAAGAACTTTAGGCTACATCTACACTACGGGGGGGGTCGATTTAAGATACGCAAATTCAGCTACGTGAATGGGTATGTCTTGAGTTACACTTCGATTTTGCAGTATAAATGAATCTCAGCTGAATCCAAACAGAATTTCATCCGATTTTGAGTCAAAACCACCGAGCAGTGCAAGTTTCTCATGCTGTGATATGAGACAATAAAGCAACCAGGTTATCTCAAAAATTTTGTCAACTTTAGGGAAACTTCCAGGGAACCTGGGCTGAGTCTTGAGTTTGTGATGAAACTAGGTGAGTTGCATGTGGTGGTTTCAGGTTTCATAGCAGAAATGTTACACAAATCAGGTTATTGGACTAAGGGCCTGACTGTGCCCTGAGGTCAGTGGGGCTACTCGTACTTGAAGTTAAGCATGTGCATTAATCTGGACAGGATTGGGCCTCAGATTAAGACCTGGTTGTTAGTGAGTGTTTCTTCATGGATTTCAGTGGGACTCCATCTCTTCAGAGCAGATATGCATTTGGTCTATAGTCATATGGCTGCTGAAACCTTGTCATTGCCCCGCTGAATCCCATAAGACAAATAAAGAACTACAAGGAAAGATGGGGTATTTCTTCCTGTCTCTAAAATGTGTCCAGATCAAATTCTCCTGTTTAAATCACATACTGTATTAATATTATTAATTTTAAAAAGAAGCTGTTAATAATGGTCCCAACTATTACACTTGACTTTCCACCCAGGCAGAAAAGAGGTAAATATTAAATACAGTTGCCAAGCAAGAGGAATCATAGAATCATAGAATCATAGAATC